TATATATATATATATATATATATATATATATATATATATATATATATATATATATATATAAACAATAATTAATAATTACATATAATATATCAAGTTTTAGTAAAATATCAAGTAGCCAACGTGAAAAGTCGAGTAAAAACAGCTCGGCACGGAACGCGTTAAATACGGAACATTTTATCGGAGGTGTTTTAAAGGCGTAACGATCGGTTAAAGAGTTCGCAGGCTTCGCTGTCCGAGGGTTAACAAGCATCGACGATGCGTAATGCTCGGGGGAAACATATTGGTAATCTTTGAAGGGGTTATTAATTACTTTTCCGGTTGTCGGTCAATATTTTAATTGGCTTGGGAGACACTTCCCTTCCGCAACATGGCCGCCTCGCGACCCCGCCGTTCGATCTCTATTTCCGCGATACACAGTACAATCTCCCCAATTTTCCTTCAGCTTGTAAAAAAAAATCGACGAAAATGCATTTGGCAAGAGGAGATACAATTATTCGAGCCTCGCGGTTCGCTTAAAAATTGCCGATCGTCAACGATTACAAGGTGCAGGGCTCAAATAATCGTATATAATAATCGTATATTATTATATTATATATTATTATCATATATATTATTAATATATCATTAATATATATTATTACCATATATATTATTAATATATCATTAATATATATTATTAATATATCATTAATATATATTATTAATATATATCATATATTATTATACATTATCCTCTTCCCAAGCGTAAAAACCGAAGGAAAATTGTGGAGAATCGACTGCATCGCGTTATCCCCAACGAACCGCGACGTCGAACTCGAGAATCGACCTAGTTGACTAAATTGAATATATTAGTGGAATAATTAGTTAAATAAAGCCGCGCCAAAGGCGGGTCAGTTTTTTTTCAACCGGAACACACGTAGGAACATCCCTGAGCGAACCGGGAACACTATTATTGTCATGGGGCACGTACCACACGTATGAACACACGTGCACTCGTACTAACCGTACACACAGAAACACAGCGAGACACGTACACGCGCGTACCGTTTTTTGGAAGAATATAATTTTTTAGTCTATACGAGCGTGTGCGATCGTCGCGTATCGCTGCCGCCGTTTGCTTGGGCAGCTGTTATTATACTGTTGAACTGTACCATAATCTTTTATATTTTTAGTCGATGCAATGAGTTCTCTTTGCGAAAGTTATATTGTTCGTGCAAACTCACGTTTCAGAAATTCGATACGTGCTGCGCGAAGAAAACAGAAAAAAACGAACGAAAACCCGCGCGAAATTACGAAGGGACGCGAACGAACGAATGAAAGAAAGAAAAAAACAAAACAAAAAAAAAGGAAAGACAACACTATTGCAATAAAATGACGATGGATCTCGATGAAAGTGAGTTTGCAGTGAAATGAAAACAAAGTTGATAGTCTATATAGGGAAGAACAATGAGAATTACGGCGGAGAAAATAATCGTCACAGGGTAGCCGCTGTACTCGATATAATTATTTGCATCGGACTTCTCGCCCGAAGCGATCTTTTCTCTCTGGAAAAGCGTGCGGGGCGCCTCGCGGAAGTAATCGATGAACACACAGTCGACGCCCTTTTAAATAAAGACATTTTCGGAACCCCGACAGAGCGAACGTGTTCCGACGACGGATCGAAATTTCCCTTGCGCGAGCGACAGCAACCGGAACAACGCCGGCGGCAAAGGGGGAAAGAAAATAGTGCATCCTTTTGTATATCGAACGTGTGCAGGAGTTCGCCGGAAAACATTTGTAACGAAAATGGGAACCGACGCGCGTGGCCGTTGACGGACCATCGAAAGGTTCGCCGAACTTTCCTCGCGTTGCTTTTTCGCCGGCCGAAGCGATCGTCATTGGCGTAGTCCCCCGGAAAGCGATGGTAGCCGTTTTCTTGCTGTTAGGGAATTTGCCAGTATTTGGGAATATTGGCCAAATTTGTAGAATGAGAAACGTTTAGAAGACCGTGTTCAACCCCTTCAGACTCGCGATGCAATTTCTACTAATTTGTTTCTAAATCGAGATTCGATTCTCTTTTTTCCTTTTTTTTTTTTTATCAAAATCCAGGACCGAAAGTAAATGAAAGACGTGGTAGAGGCAACGAAAAATGATCTCGAAATTATTAACGGACTGCGAAGAAAATGATTGGAATTCCGAACACATGGATTTATGGAAAGATATAATATTTGATAAGTGTAATATTTGCGGTGGCAAAAAGATTACAAGAATTTCAAAGCGTCGACGTATTATTTTTATCCGATTAGGACGATTAAATGAACAACGTATTTGTTAGATCATTTCTTTTTCTCACAATTCTTGTGGATAATTTTGATTTTGCACAGATTTTCCGTTCATATTATTTTGCACAAAGGCGTCGAAACGATCCGCCGAATTTCATAAAAATCGATTT